GCTCAGCGGCCTCTTCCGCCTTCTCTGCCCTCGTAGAGGCCGCAGTCTAGGGTACACTGGGGTTCCCCCCTGTGGAGTGTTCTGTGGCAACACTTATATGTCCCTACAGCGCCTCCACCTGGCGTGGAAACCCTAAGCACCCCCCCCAATGCCGTAGGTTCTTGTCTACTCCGGTGGCGGGGACCTATAGAGCTGCGGGGCATGCTGCCACCTCACTGTGTGTTATTGCCATCCTTTGGGGTGTGCAGTGACATGCACAAGGGTAGGGCTGATTCAGGGCTCATCCTTGAGCTGCCTGCCGTCACCAACTTTGCTCTACGAGCGACGAAGGTGACCGCATTCTCCCTGAGTCAGGTGATGTCCACATGCGTGGTCAGACATTTCTGGCTTAACCTGGTTGATGTGCGCAAGGCTGAGTTAACCAGTTTCCTCAACTTCCCTATATCTCAGGCTGGCCTCTTCGGCAGCGCGGTCGAGAACTCTGCCCAACAGTTCTCGGCCGCCCAGAAGCAGACTGTGGCTTTTGTCTGACCCTGCGGTTTCTGCTGCAACTAGCCGCCGGCTAAGATGCCTCAGTCCGGTTGCCGCCAAATGCGCCCTCCTGCGACTTCCGCCCCCTCCCGTCCGTCCCCAACAGCACCGGGCCATGCCGTGGAGGTGGTCGCAGGGAGGCGCCCCTGCCTGTAACAGCCCCGCTGTGTCGCTCCCGTTACGGGCAGCTCAGATATGGCTTGAAGTTCTTCAGGGAGTGGTCGCAGGCCCACTCCTTCCCCCGGTGGAGGGCTGGGGGAGAATCTTTTCTTCAAAGAGCTGCATTCCATCTCTGAGGACACAGTACAGGATGAAAGTGCACAACGCCCCTTGTGCCTCGCCACTCTCATTCTCCTCTGTCTCTGAGGGTGCGGATGGGAGTGTGTGTCGTCCCCGGACCACGCCACTCCCATCCCCCTCTATCGCCAAACCCCCAGCAGAGCAGACCCCTGTGAAACGCTGGTCCTTCCCTGGTCTCCTCTGTCAGGGAGCGGAGTTAGATTGTGTACCCGTGGGGGGTAACACCTCCGCGTCTGCCGGTCTCTCCGCTTCGCTGCCCCTACGGGGGGACGTCTGTGGCTCGGCTGATTCCACTGGATCAGTTTTTGGGAGCTTGGCTAGAGCTCCCCAATCTGTCGCGTTGGGTCACCCGGACGATCAGGCTCCGCCATGCGATTCAGTTCGCACAGTCTCCTCCCCGTTTCCGGGGAGTTCACTTTACAGTGGTCGGTGGCAATGCCCTGATCATGAGAGCGGAGGTTGCTACCCTGCTGGTGAAGGGTGCAATCGAGACTGTCCCTCCAGCAGAGATGAGGTCAGGGTTTTACAGCCCCTACTTCATTGTCCCCAAGAAGACCGGTGGGTTACGACCGATCCTAGATATTCACGTTTTGAACCGTACTCTTCACCGACTGCCGTTCAAGATGCTCACAGCCAAACGCATTTTTGAGTGCGTTCGGCCCCGGGATTGGTTTGCAGCGATACACCTGAAGGACGCGTACTTTCATGTCTCCATCTTACCTCAACAAAGACCGTTTCTTCGGTTTGCTTTCGAGGGACAGGCATATCAGTACACAGTTCTCCCATTCGGATTGGCTCTGTCCCCTCGCGTCTTTACGAAGATCATCGAGGCAGCCCTTGTTCCCCTTAGCGAACACGGGGTTCGCGTCCTGAATTATCTCGACGATTGGCTGATCCTAGCACACTCTCGAGATCAGGTCTGCGAACACAGAGACCTTGTGGTCCGGCACCTAACCCGTCTGGGCCTTCGGGTCAACTGGGAGAAGAGCAAACTTTGCCCCGTGCAGAGGATCTCTTTTCTTGGTATGGAGAAAGACTTGGTCGCCATGTCTGCGCAGCTCACGTGAGGAAAACACGTGCATGCTAGAAATAGAACCGACGCCTATTTTTCACGCGACACGCATCTCACACGAGGCCAGAGTTCAGTTAACTTGTTTATTTGCCAGGCACAACGTGCAGGCATTCAGAAAAATAGCTTCAGAACAGAGCAACCAAAATAACAGACGAACTTCCTCAAACAGCCCCCTCTCCCCAAGCCAACCAACAGCGTGCCCGGGGTTCCACATAGCTGATTGACAGCCACACAGCCATTGACAGTTGCTACAATATGTTATTTTGTACACAAACACATATTAATAAATTGAATTTTGATGGTTGAAAGTCTAGGTTTTGACATAAATTCAGATACAAATATAATTTAAAAATAAATTAATAAATAATTATAAATTTTCAAATATTGCACCTGTTAATACAGAACAAAATATTCTGTGGTCTATTTTGCTGTCAATACTGCTGACAGTGTCTTTATCAGTATACTGTATTTATGCTTAACATTGACAACAACAAAAAAGTTGATGACAACAACATTGCCATAGCAAACTGTGAGACATGTAAACTTGGGATCTCAAGAGGTGGAAAGAAAAAGGCTACATTTAACACAACAAACCTGCCATCTCAAAAACAAAGTCAACTCACGCTGCAGGAGATATTGAAGAGGAGAGAAAAATGCCCCTTGATTGTGCGAATGCGCAGGACATCACAGCCAAGATAGCACAAATGATCATAATGAGTGCTATTTGGTTTTATATTAGACTTTTATATATGAAGAGTTCAGATGCAAAAGCCTCTAAATGCCATTTGAAATTTTCATCTTTAATGATGATTTTTGTCAAACTTGTATATTTATGTTCAGTAATTTCACTTAAATAACAATTAATAGGTAATTATCATTGCCATTTAAGTGAAATCACTGAACTTAAATATACAAGCTTGACAAAAATCATCATTAAAGAAGAAAATTTCAAATGGCATTTAGAGGCTTTTGCATCTGAACTCTTCATATATATATATATATATATATATATATATATATATATATATATATATATACAGTTGCAATAAAGTCCAAAATTGAATAATTTATATATTTATTACCTGACTGTTCAAGCTACCTCACAGAAGTGATCTGTTTGTTAACTAGATCATGTAGTAACACTTGAGTCATTACTAGTTAGTTCCAATGATCTTCACTTTATAATACGAATCCAAATAATTAGTAATTCCCACAGAAGTATCTAGAAACACTTTCATCTGTGAGCTATTACTTACTAATTATTTGGATCCGTATTATAAAGTGAAGATCATTGGAACTAACTAGTAATGACTCAAGTGTTACTACATGATCTAGTCATGATTTGTGCAACCGTTTGAGATTTTTGGTGAACATTAGTATACTTTTAGAAAAGTCTTTAGTAACACTTGAGTAATTACTAGTTAGTTCCAATGATCTTCACTTTATAATACGAATCCAAATAATTAGTAATTCCCCACATAAGTATCTAGTAACACTTTCATCTGTGAGCTATTACTTACTAATTTGTTAATAAGAGTTTCTTTTAGTTAATAGTAGTTACTAGATTGTTAATAAACTTTTTCAGTAGTTCTCTGGGAAGTATTAAAAAAAAATAGTAGTTATTGATTACTTAATAGTGAACTACCACTTTCGTCTGTGCGCTATTACTTACTAGTTCGTTAATCAGAGTTTCTTGTTAGTTAATAATAGTTACTAGATTGTTAATATTGTGTTACTCATTAGTTCTTGTGTAGTTATTCATTAACGAAGGAACCGTATTCTAAAGTGTTACCAAAAATGTATATATGGAAAACATCACAAACACCAGGGCAGGCAAGACAGGCGAGAAGTGGTTTCAACGGGACGGCGTCTCTGTCCCAAGTTGAGACACTCTTGCACTGTACTCCCTCTTTTAATGCACTTTAGACATTGCACATAACACACACACACACACACAAATAATAATTAGGAGAAGATAGGGACTGAAGAGATGTGGGGGAAGGTTATCATATATTATCTTATTATATCATATTTTATTTTATACAGGGTTGACAATGGCAATTGGTACATAGGAGGAAGGATGGAAATAAAAATCGACTAATACAATATTGGCAATATGGTGGTAGTGGGGAGTGGGGGTGGTGATGGTGATGGTAATGACAATGGTAATAAATAATAAATGGTAACTTTGTTTATGCATACACACACATACACATACCCACACCCACTCACATACACACTTAGATCAAACACTTAAATCACTCTTATGTCACTTCTGGAATTATGGAATTACAAGATTGCTCACTACTGCACTATGTTGGTTTGTATGTATGTCTGACTGTTAAATAAAAAAAAACAAAGAAAATAATACAACACAGATCAATATTATTGTTGAATATTAAATGTCCCCAACTAAGCAAGCCAAAAACCAAGGCAACAGTGGCAAGGAACCAAAACTCCATCAGGTGATTGAATGGAGAAAAAAAACTTGGGAGAACCCAGGCTCAGTCGCGGGCCAGTTTTCCTCTGGCCAACGAAGGAACACTGATTACAAAAAAATACGATCGAAACATTAAGAGAATTTGTCCATTTCCATCTGTCCATTTCCATCCAAAATAACAGTACTTTTAAATGTCTTGACGTTTCTGCTCTGAACGCAATATTACTATGTCCAAATAAAACCAGAAACAAATGTTCAGTCTTGCTTTTGAAAGATAATTCCTCAAGACCGGTTTTCAATTGTGTGGCAACTTGTACAACCCCAAGCAGCAGACGAAACAGAAATCTTTCTCAATTCTCAGTATGAGAGGTATGAGAAAGTTGCCCTCCGCAATATGACGCTGCTATTGACGTACGCTCCAGCAGCCAATGGCAGCCGTCTATGTATTTTTTATATCTATGGTGACAACACCATTGGGGTTGTCCTAAAGTTAAGATCGTATTTAGGATGGAGGAGTTAGGATGCTTCAGTAAAACCTTTTCCTATCTGTTGTTAAAATAAGATTATGCATTTAAGAAATGTATTTTTGATCGATTTAGTCCTAAATGAGATCCTAACTGAAATTTCCATGGTTACTGTCATGGACTATGTTCCATTCAGCTTAAACACTCCCAAGAAACTCCAGGACACAGATGATTAATTTCCAGAAGTTTACTGAGAATCTTGTGAAACTGCAATATAGTACAATGACATGACAATATTAATAATCAAACCAAAAATACACAGTAAAAGTGTAAATAGCAGGGCTAAGCAAACATAGCAGTTTAGCCTATCTGATAATCACAATTGAGCTAGTAAAAATAACCAGCAGCAATAAACAAAGCTAATTTAGCCTTCTCAATAATTTTACAAAATTAAAATAAGCAGTAACTTAGTGTCAAACAATGATAAATACTCACAGACGTTGCATTAGCAAAGGGGGAAAAGGAAAAGCGAAGGATTCAGAACTGACGACAGATAGAGCTCGCACATTACTATAGCCGATCACCGCATGGGGAACCTTTACTTCCTGTTTCCGCACATGCGCAGAACTGAGTTACTATGGTAACGAACCTAAACAAACCACACGTAACTACTGATTCAGATAGAGCGGCATGACACTCCCCGCTTGGGATCTTTAAAGAGCCCACATTAATTAGCAGAATCAGACTTTGGAGAGAGAAGCAGAACGACTTCTGTAACAGGACGAGAAAAGGACTTTCTGGTTCCGTCCTTGACAACTTCCACTTGAATCTTCCGAACCAATCCATCATCTCCTGGGAGGGTTTTTGTGATGATGCCCGTTGGCCATTGATTTCTCTTTGCTTGATTGTCTTTCAAGAGAACTATGTCTCCTTCTTGAAGGTTCTGCCTTTTTCCTTGCCACTTGTGTCGAAGCTGCAATGTCTTGAGGTATTCATGTTTCCACCTGTTCCAAAACGTGTCTGCTAGGCCCTGAACCCGCTTCCACTCCTCTCTGATGAGATGCGCTTCCTGGTAGCTTCCTGACGGAGGAGGAGGAGGTGTAGAGCCAGTCTTAAGAGTCAGGAGCGTTGCTGGGGTGAGTATGAGCAGCGATTCCGGATCTGATGACACGGGAATGAGCGGTCTAGCATTCATGATAGCAGCTACCTCAGCCATGAGTGTAGTCAGAACTTCGTGTGTAAGGTGAGACCTCCTCTGCTCGAGCAGCATGCAGTCCAAAATCCGACGGGCAATGCCGATCATGCGCTCCCACGCGCCGCCCATATGAGACGCATGGGGCGGGTTGAATACCCAGGTGCAGCCCTGTGTGTGTAGGTACTCTTCCACACTGTTGAAGCCTGGATTAGTCTTGACCATCTCCAGATCACGGGAGGCGCCGATAAAGTTAGTGCCGCAGTCGGAGCGGATCTGCTTTGCCGGGCCTCTGACAGCAAAGAACCTTCTTAAGGCGTTGATAAAGCTGCTGGTACTCATTGCTTCTATTACCTCGATGTGAACTGCCCTTGAACACATGCAGGAGAACATCACAGCCCATCGTTTAGAATTGGAGACTCCTCCTCTTGTGCGGCGTGAGACAATGTCCCATGGTCCAAAGACGTCGACACCTACATAGGTGAAAGGGGGTGCTACTTGTAGCCGTTCCGCTGGGAGAGCTGCCATCTGCTGATGTTCGGTCTTTCCCCTCAGCCTTCTACATGTGATACATCTGTGAAGCAGACTGCTAATGCAACGTTTAGCTCCCACCAGCCAGAAACCTGCCGCTCGAATAGCACCTTCGGTAAGATGCCTTCCTTGATGTTTTACGGCTTGGTGATAGTGAGAGACAAGCAGGGTTGCGAGGTGATGCCGGCCAGGAATGATGATAGGGTGTGTCTCGTTAATGCTCAGATCTGACTGTTCAATCCGACCTCCCACTCTAAGAAGTTGATCTTGGTCCATAATAGGGCACAATTTCCACAGGCTGCTGGAAGATGAAATGTTGGATCCAGAGTTTATACACTTAAGTTCATCTGAATAGCACTCATTCTGGACACTTTTCACAATAAACGCTTTTGCCCTCAGCAACTCTTTCTCTGTAGGACGACAGATGTGCCATCCCTGACATTCGTTCTTGGTGGTGTGAGCAAAGGTGCGAGCCACGTGGATGAGGTGTGCTATGGCTGTGAGGAGATTGTTGAACTTGGAGAAACGTTCAAAGCGTTGTGGGTGTACCACGTCTCTGGTAACATGCGTGAGACTTGCCACTACCTGGGGACGCACTTCAGAGTCGGTGTCAGGGTCAATAAGATTATAAATCTCTTGAGGCTCAGGTGAATGCGAAGGTGCATCATAGAGAAAGGCTGGTCCTTTGAGCCAAGTTGTGCTGCTAAGCAAGGCTGGTGTCACAGTTCTTGACCCAATGTCGGCTGGGTTGAGATGTGTTGGGACGTACTTCCACTGACCGGAACAAGGTGATTGATGGATACGTTGGACCCTGTTATGTACGTAGACATAGAATCTCCTTGACTGGTTCTGGATGTACCCCAGTACAACCTTGCTATCAGTGAAGTAGGTGATGTTATCGAATGTTACGTCCATCTCTGTGACTACCATCTCAGCGATCTCAATGGCAAGTACAGCCGCACAGAGCTCAAGTCTCGGGATAGTTAAAGCAGGCTGGGGTGCCAACTTAGCTTTCCCAAAGACGAAGCCAACCTCAGCCTGTTCTTGATGGCTTGTTACCTTGATGTAAGCTACGGCTGCTATCGCCTTGACTGATGCGTCTGCAAAGACACAGAGTTCTCTTCTTAGTGCGCCTGCAGTAGAGAAGGACGTGTAGGGACGTGGGATCTGGAGCCCCTCTAGGTCTTGAAGCGACTGTTTCCATTTAGTCCACTCAGTCTCCTGTTCTTTAGGAAGAGGTGAATCCCAGTCCTCTGCCTGCATGGTGAGTTCCCTGAGTATGAGTCTTCCATGAACCGTGATGGGTGCGAGGAACCCTAGAGGATCGTAGAGGCTATTCACGGTTGAGAGTACTCCTCTGCGAGTGAATGGCTTCTGGTCATCTTTGATTTGAAACATGAAGGTGTCAGTGCGCATGTTCCAGAACAATCCAAGACTACGTTGGATTGGCAGATCATCAACAAAGAGATCTAGGCTGTTGACGTCCTTGGCGCGATCATTGGATGGAAATGCTTCGATGACTGCCGGTCGATTTGAAGCAATTTTGTGTAGCCTGAGGTTAGAAGCTGCAAGCATTTTCTGTGCTCGACCGAGGACGCTGATGGCCTCTTCCTCTGTGCTGAAGGATTTTAAGGCATCGTCAACATAGAACTCACGGTCAATGAATCTTCTTGCGTCGCTGCCATAGTCGGCTTCTGCTTTCTTAGCTGCCCGCCGCATACCATACACTGCAACGGCAGGCGAGGGACTGTTCCCAAAGAGGTGAACCCTCATTCTGTAGTCCACAATGTCGGCGGTAGGATCGTTATTCCTATACCATAGGAAGCGGAGAAAATCACGGTGTTCCTCCTTAACGACAAAGCAGTGAAACATGTGCTCAATGTCAGCGGTGATCGCCACCTGTTCCTTCCTGAATCTCATAAGAACACCTAGCAGGCTATTATTAAGATCAGGGCCGGTGAGCAAGACATCGTTGAGCGACACTCCTTCACATGACGCACTGCTGTCAAAGACCACGCGGATCTTATCTGGCTTCCTAGGATGGTAAACACCGAACAGGGGGAGGTACCAACACTCTTGTCCAGGCTGCATTGGCGGGGCGACTTCTGCGTGTGCCTTCTGGAGCATCTTCTCCATAAACTCAAGGAAATCGGCTTTCATCTTTGGTCGTTTTTCCAATGAGCGACGGAGTGAGACAAGACGGTCAAAGGCCTGTTTTCTGTTGTTCGGCAGCCGCTGTCTTGGTGACCGGAAGGGCAAAGGTGCAACCCAACTCTTGGAGCTGTCCTGATGGCACTCAGCTTCCATTATCTTCAGAAACTCTAGATCCTCCATGGATGGAGCGAGTCTGTGATCGTCAGGAGTACGAGCAAAGACGGTCTGCCCCAAGCAGTCTCCACTAAGCATCACTGAGTCACGCGAGGAGGTTATTGCAGGATGATGCTGAGGTTTAGACACTTGACCGAATATCTCTTTCACTCTGATCTGATTGTTGCATGGCTGAAGATAACTGGTACGTCCATTCTCTAAGATGGTGGTTTTGTAACTTCTCACTTCATGAGACCTATGAGCGCCTCCTAGGCACACATCGCCGACGATGACCCATCCTAGGTCAAGCCTTTGTGCAAACGGTGCGTCTCCTGGGCCACTTATCTGATCTCGGACCTTGTGCGCCTGTAAGATGTCTCTGCCCAGTAAAAGAAGTATTTTGGCGTTTGGATCCAGTGGTGGAATCTTATTGGCGATGTGCTTCAGGTGGGCATGGTGGTAGGCTGCTTCCGGCGTAGGAATCTCGGCTCGAACGTTAGGAATTTGGTTGCACTCGAGGAGTGTAGGCAGGGGAATGCTTAGTTTCTTGTCTACCGATTCCACAGTGTAACCGCTTGCTCTCCTCCCCGCTGTCTCTGAACGCCCTGCACAGGTCTTAAGTGTATACGAGTAGGAACTTCCTGAGATCTTAAAAACCTCAAAGAACTCCGACCGCGCCAGGGAGCGGTTGCTCTGTTCATCCAGTATGGCGTACATTCTCTTGGACTCCTCCCTGCATCCATTTGGGAACACGCTGACAAGGCAGATCTTAGCACATGATCTGGCGCTTAATCCTTCGCCGCAAACTTGAGTGCACGTCGACTTGACCTCCTGGATGTCTGCTTTGTCCTCCTCCCCGCCATCCTCAGAAGCGGAAGGGGACGACTTAGATTTCCAGGTAGGTGGGCAGGGGTGAAGTGCAGTCGCATGAGCAGTGCTCTCGCACTCTGTACATTTTATCTCAGCTGTGCAGTTCTTTGCGAGATGCTCTGTGGAGGAGCAACAGCGAAAGCAGATGTAATGTTCTTTCAAAAGCTGTTTGCGATCATTTATGCTCTTTTCACGGAAGCCTCTGCATTTCCTCAGAGGGTGTGGCTTTTTATGTAGAGGGCAGTGTTTGTTTGGGTCAATTGCTTCTGTACTTTTCCTACACTCGGCCTTAGCAGTTCCGGAGACCTGCGTCTTGTGAACATAAACAGACGTCTTTGTAGGCTTCTCCCACTTACTCTTTCTCTCTACTGGAGCTTGCGTGAAGAGGTTAAAGCTCGGGTCAGTGCGAGCCCTTGCTTCCGTGGCGATGAAGTTTACGAACACAGAGAAAGGTGGGAAGGTAACTAAATGTTCCTGTTTGTATCTTGTACCAAAGTAAAGCCACTTCTCTTGCATGTTGTATGGGAGTTTCTCGATGATAGGCTTAATTCCTCTGGAGGAATCCAAGTACGACAAGCCTGCAAGGTAGCCGTCTTCCTTGGCGGCTAGTAGTTCTGACAACAGGTCGGCTAGATCCCTGAGTCTCTGTGGATCCTTCGTTGTGACCTTCGGAAAGTTTTCTAGTTTGTTGAACAGAGCCTGCTCAACGGCCTCTGGTGAGCCGTATATTTCGTCGAGGCGCCCCCATGCCATGTGCAGTCCAGTTGCTGGATCTTTAATGTTGACCGTTTTTATCCTTCTTACTTGTTCTGATGACTCTTTTCCCAGATACTTGGTGAGAAGGTCGAGTTCACCTGCAGCAGAGAGGTCTAGATCAGCGATAGCGTTCAGGAATGATGTTTTCCAGGCCCAATAGTTCATTGGTTGGTCGTCATATAAGGTGAGACCTGAAGTCACCAAGCTACTGCGAGCAAGGTATTTGATGAGGTCGCCAGTGAACGTAGAATGTTCATAGCTAGCTCCGTGAGGCGTCCTGGGAGTGGGCAGGTGCACAGGAGATGATGAATCCAGTTTTGAGTTTTGTTGGGAGCGATTCCCAACAAGCTGAGGAGCTGGAGCAGAGTTGAGAGGCTGATTAAAGCTTTGTTGTGGCAGTGCCAAACTGGTCTGAGGGGTCTTAGGAACTTGCTGTGGCATAGTTTTAGCAGAGGCAGCATCTTGGGTTTGACTTGCATTGCGTGGGTGAGGTGTAGAAGGGATCACATTGACTGGTTGAGGGTGTAGCGAGTGAACTGTTGGTGAAACATAGTCACTCCCTCTTCCGTCAGATCGAGCCTCGCTGCATAGGCTGGCTTGCGCCGACACGTAGGCGGCAACGCGCTGGTCTTTGACAGATTGAGAGACCTGGCTGTTAGCTTTACTACATACTTCGAAACCCATATCTTGTAAACCAGCTACGAGAGCATTCGCCTCCGCTATGGCAGCATCCTTTTCTTTTTCTTCATTTAAAGCATCAAGATTAGCTTGAACTCGTGCTTGCTCTACTTTAAGTTGAATTTCTTTCAACGCATGTGCCGCTCTAGCTTGCGCTGCTTCGGCCTTTGCCTTTGCCATGGCGACGGCCATGCTAATCTTTGAGCTGGACGATGTACCAGATGAACGACTGCTTCTTGAGCGCACAGTCTCAGACTGGTTATCTCCATTTCCTTTTTTACTGTTGCTACGTTGTGACATTGTGACTCACCACGTTTTCAATTTCAGGAGCAGGAAGCTAGTGA